CTGCGGCAGATGTCTTGCTGCAGCACAACTAAGAGGAGACACAAAGCCAATAGGCAAACGCATGCTTTGCCTCGTCCCCATAGATATCCTTTCTTGTGGGGCCAGCAGCAAACTGCTGCTGCTGCTGTTGCTGCTGCTGCTGCAAGCATCAGCTCCTGCTGCAGCTCTCTATTATGAGATAAAACGCATGCAGCTGCCGCTACCCCACGCGGTGTATGTACACCCCAAACACCAACAGAACAGCACGAGCAGCAGCAAACCTAACTGCAGCAACAACTGCAGCAGCTGCAGCAGCAACTGCGCAGCAAATGCAGCAGCAACTGGGAATAGATTGGGGGAGACAATTTCTGCTAGAGTTTGCTGCGGTTCTGCTGCTGCTGCTGCTGCTGCTGCAGGAGAGTCAGGGGCAGCAGCAGCAGCAGCTCTAGCAGCAGTAGCAGCAGCAGCTGCTGCTGCTACTGCTGCTCCTGTTACTACTACAGTAACTGTTACAGTTACTTCTGCTGCTGCTGCTGCTGCTGCTGCTGCAGCTGCTGGGGGGCAGCTACGGTGTATCTGCAGCAAATAAATAATATTTCTTTTATTTATTTATTTATTTAATTAATTAAATTAAATAAAAAAAATAAATTAAATTAAATGTAAGTAAAAAAGGGGGGAAAAAACAAACAAACCACAGGAGGGGGGCCCCTCAGGGGGGCCCCCCTGTGTCGTCTGTATGTTTCCGCTGCTGCTGCTGCTGCTGTTGCTGCTGCTGCTGCTAGGCTTGTTTTGCTCCTTTTCTTTTATTTATTAATTTATTAATTAATTTATTATTTATTTATTTATATTTATTTATATTTATTTATATTTATTTGTTTGTTTATTAACTAAGAAGACAACATAAACAATGAGGGGCCGGGAGGCCCCTCAATAGCAACATAATAACAGCAATAGCAGCAGCAGCAGCAGCAGCAGCAAGAGCAGCAGCAGCAACACCAACAACAACAATAGGAGCAGCAACAGAAGCAGCAACAGCAGCAAGAGCAGCAGCAGCTGCTGCAGCAGTGTATGTAGTACACAGCATGAGGTATAATACAAATGTCTAGAGGACGACCTCCCTTGCTGCTGCTGTTCTCCTTGCTGCTGCTGCTGCTGCAGCTGCTGCTGCTGCTGCAGCAGCAGCTAACGGTGTCTGGGAGCTCCCTCAAGCAGCAGACGTTCTTCTTCCTATCATCATCATTCCCTCAATACTCTTACAACAAGCAACCCCTGCAGCAGCAGCAGCAGCAGCAGCAGCAGCAGCAATGGCAGCAGCAGCAGCAGCAGCAGGCCCACCGCACCACCGTTCGCACTCTTAATGGCGCAAACAGCAGCAGCAGCAGCAACAGCAGCAGCAGCAACAACAGCAGCAAGAGTTGGATAATCCCCAACCGGCTATACCCCTCCTTACCCTTCGGTATTCAGCAGCAACAGCAGCAGCAGCAGCAGCAGCAGCAGCAGCAGCAACTGCTGCAGCAACAGCAGCAACAGCAGCAGCATTGGTTGCCTTCAATGACGATGGTTTGTGTACGTCGTTATAAACGTAAGTAATTATTTTTGTCTCCTTTTTTGTCTCCTTTATTTATTTATTTATTTATTTATTTATTTATTTATTTATTTATTTATTTATTTATTTATTTATTTATTTTTTGTGTCCTTATATATGTGTCTTGCTGTCTCCTTTTGTGTCTCCTTTTTTCCTTGTCTCCTCCTAATAAATAAATAAATAAAAATAAATAAAAATAAATAAAATAAATAAATAAATAAATAAATAAATAAATAAATAAATATATTTATTTATTTATTTATTTATTTATTTATTTATTTATTTATTTATTTATTTATTTATTTATTATCTATAGGTAACCTGTCTCCTTGGCCATTAGAGACATCATTAGGTGTCTCCTGTATAGTACGTCGTGAGCAAAAAAGGAGACAATTAATAAATGATTATTTATTAATAAGAAATAAATATAAGGAAAAAAAGAGAGAAAGTAAATCATTAGATGAATATATACATTGGCATTTGCTGCTGCAGTTGCTGCCAAGAGACACTTCCTTAGTAAGAAAAAGGAGACGATGCAGCAGCACAGGGAGAGGGCGTGGGGTGTATAGACACTTTGGTCTATGTAGGCATAAAATTAAGGAATTAATTGATAATATGTATCTACCTGGATGGACTAAGGCTGAATGGTAAATATACAAGGATTGTCTCCTTTTTTTCTCTCCTTTTTGTCTCCTTTTTGTCTCCTTTTTGTCTCCTTTTTCTTTCTCCTTTTTTCTCTCCTTTTTCTTTCTCCTCTTTTCTCTCTTTTTCTCTGTATCTACCTGGATGGACTAAGGCTCAATGGTAGTAAACAGGCAAGAAGTGTCTCCTTTCTTCTCTCCTTTCTTCTCTCCTTTCTTCTGTCTCCTTTTTTGTCTCCTTTTTTCTCTCTCCTTTCTTCTGTCTCCTTTTCTCTGTCTCTTTTTTTCTGTCTCCTTGGGGTGTATAGGCACCTTGGTATATATAGGCATAAAATAAATATATGTATATATCTTATTGTATTAGGGACTGAATAATAAATAAGTGTCTCCTTTCTTGTTGTCTCCTTTCTTGTTGTCTCCTTTTTTGTCTCCTTTTTTCTGTCTCCTTTCCTTCCTTCCTTCTCCTTCTTTTTATGTGTCTCCTTTTTTATTATATAAATAATTTACTGTCTCCTTTTCTTTCCTTTTCCTTCTTCTTTTCTTTTTCTCCTTTTCTTATATAAATAAATAAGTATATAAATAAATAAATATTATTTATTTATTTATATATATTATTTATTTATTTATTTATATTATTTATTTATTTATTTATTTATTTATTTATTTATTTATATAATATAAATAAATAAATAAATATAGATAAATACAACTAACAAACTGTCTCCTTTTTTCTCTTTTTTTCTTAATAATAAATAAATAAATAAATAAATAAATAAATAAATAAATAAATAAATAAATAAATAAATAAATAAAAAGGAGACACTTAGCTACTTACTAAATAATAATAATAATAAGAGGAGACACTTATTAGCTAAATAAATAAATAAATAATATATAGAGGTAAAAAGGAGACAAAAAAAGGAGACAATAAAAAGGAGACAGTTGCATGCATGCATGCATGCATGCACGCATGCATGCACCTCTATATAAATAAATTCACTAGCTAGTAGTAGTAGTGTTGTCTCCTGCTGCTGCTGCAGCTGCTGCTGTTGCACTACATGCGTCAATGCTGCTGCTGCTGCTGTTGCTGCTGCATTACGTATGCTAATACTTAATAAGAAAGATTGTTGCTGCTGCTGCTGCATGATTGTAGCAGCAGCAGCAGCAGCAGTAGCAACAGCAAAGCAATTTGCTGCTGCTGCTGCTGCAGCAAGAGGGAGGTGCCAATGCACAAAACGCTGCCGATAGCTGCATGCAGCAGCTGCTGCTGCACAGAGCAGCAGCAGCAGCAGCAGCAAAAGACACAACAATTAGGGGAATTAAAAGGAGACAAAACAACAAAGGAGACAAAAAAAAAGAGAACTACATAGACACAGAGGCTGCTGCTGCTGCTGCTGCTGCTGCTGCTGCTGTGTCTGTTGTGCTATTTCTATAGTAATAGAAGACATGACGGAAGGCGCTGCTGCTTCTGCATGCAACACGAGTGAATCCTTGCTGCTGCAGCAGCTGCTGGAGTTGCTGCAGTTGCTGCGGTTCTGCTGCAGCAGCAGCAGCAGGAATTTCTTGTTTGTCTGCTAAGAAGATAGGGGAATCGATGTGTACGTGCTGCAGCAAGGGTTGCTGCTGCAGCAGCAGCTGCAGCAGCAGCAGCACCCGCTGCTCTATATAATTATCTGCTGCTACGCAGCAGCAGCCTTCTTCTGCTGCTCTTAGGGACAGCAGCAGCAGCCTAAGGGGGGGACGAAGAGACACAGGAAAGGAGACAGTTGCTGCTAAGAACTGCAGCAGACTGCGGCGCTGCTGTCCTGTCTGTGGGGCTGCATGCAGCAGCAAACCAATACAACGGGACCGTAGTACCTTGCTGCAGCACACCTGCTGCAGCAGCAGCAAATCTGCATGCAGCAGTGCTGCTGCTGCTGCTCTCCTTACCCTCCAGCAGCTAAATGAATGTCCTAAGACAAAACCCTTTTGCTGCAGCAGCAGAGGCAAGACACATTGCTGCAGCAGGAAGCAGATACACATGCTGCTGCTGCTGCTGCTGCTGCTGCTGCTGCTGCTGGTAGTAATGGTAGTTGTAGTGGTATGGTAGATGCTGCTGCTGCTGCTGCAGTTGCTGCTGCTGCTGCTAATGCTGCTTCGGCAGCTGCTGCTGCTGCTGCGGATAATGCTTGTTGTTAGAGATGCGGGTGTCTCGTCACCTGCTGCTGCTGCTGCTGCTGCTGTTGCTTCTGTTGCTGCTGTTGCTTCTGTTGCTGCTGCTGCTGCTGCTGTTGCTTCTGTTGCTGCTGCTGTTGGGGTTCGTGCTGCAGCAGTTGTTGCTGCTGACTCGATTGCTGCTGCTGCTTCTACTACTGTTGATGATGCTGCTGCCGCTGCCGTTGCTGCTGTTGGTGTTGCTGCTGCTGCTGTTGTTGTTGCTGCTGCTGCTGCTTGAGTTGCCGAAGGCAGGCAATCGGTGCAGCAGCAGAAGGCGCAGCCTGTGTTAGATATGTCGTCGCTGCTGCTGTTGCTGCTGCTGCTGTTGCTGCTGCTGTTTGTCTCCTTCCTTAAAGTACAGATTCGTGCTGCAGCAGGAAGACCCACCAGCCATATGCTAGGGAAGTTACCTGCTGCCTCTGCTGCAGCAGCAGCAGCATGCTGCTGCTGTTGCTGATGCTGCTGCAGTTGCTGATGTTGCTGCTGCTGCTGTTGCTGCTCTCCTTGCATGTCTTGCAAGGGATATATCTGTTGCTGCTCTCCTTTCTCCTCATGCTGCTGCTGCTGCTGCTGCTGCTGTTGAGCGTGTGGGAGGCCAATGGGTCTACAGTGCTGATCCTGCTGTTGTTGCTGCTGTTGCTGCTGTTGCTGCTGTTGCTGCT